TGTTTTAATAATAGGTTTCTGTTCAAAGTTCACATTTTAAGCACATCTAGAAGAATTGACAATGAATTGAACTGACAAATATAAGGATCACTTTGCTATAGAGCATGTTTGTACAGATCTAAACTACAGGATAAGCAGTTTTTATGCAGAATAAGACAGGAGATTTTGTTGTTTGTGGAGGTAATGATGGTACTTCGGCAATTACAGCCTTCACGATCTGGTTTTTGTGATTCAGATTGCGATTGTGATTAATCTTGTAACTTTCACTTTATCAGAAAACAGGCCTACACTAAATTAACCTGTAATGTTTTTATAGAATAACTAAGATGGACCTTTGCTTGTTTTCAAAGAGGATACTTCCACCTCTACTATTTTACTGAGAAAATTCAGTTTAGTAGGGGACTATTAGACTAATAAAATGTGTTCTCAATGGAAGTGACAGTTAGTATTATGCAAAACTAACCAATACTCCTTTCTCCTGTTGATTCACAATGTAAAGTATAAGTTTATGTATACAGTATAACCTCTTTTATAAAATATATGTTAAAAGTTTGGCTACCTATTCCAGATAATAACTGTGAGTATTTTTCTCATTTAAAAAAATAAGCCCTTTCTCTTTAAACTAGGATGACCAGATGTCCTTATTTACTTGGGACAGTCCCAGTTTTGAGCTCTGTATCCCCTGTTCCAGCAGATTTATCCAAAACCAGTGATTTGTCCCAGTTTTATGCAAGAAACGTCTCTGGTGTCCCTATTTTTGGCCAATTTGATACCTGCCAACAGTAAAGAGAAACATAAATTGTCTAGTTTTTTGTTTGTTTTAGGTAAAATTACGGAAAACACAAAGAAAATAAGACTATACCGACTCACATGTTATCGTGAATAAGTTACGAATAGACCAAGTACATAACAATTTTCTTTACCCACTCGTTTCACATTTTTATTATTACCAACCACGGCAAACCCAGGGGATGTCCCAGTTTCTGATTTTGAAAATCTGGTCACCCTATCTTAAACTACACTGTTGACTCCCACTAATGAATAATGTAAAAGCTTTGGGGGGTTGTCTTGCCTTCTTAACCCATGTTACCTTTTTCCTGTTCATCTAATGCAAACTATTATTCTCTCTTGCAGCCCATTTAAAAGCTATTATAAATTACTATTATTAGTTTTGGCCCGTTTCATAATAGGTCTATGCAAAAACTATTTAAACTCGCTGACAAAGCAGATCCCTAAATACAGTATGTTAACAAATCAATCACTGGTCTGGTTTTCTTTCAGCTGTGGATTAGAATGAAAGGTGAGTAGGCTATAAGTTGCTTTTGTTGAAGGTGCACTGTGTAACCTTTCACTTGTAGGTTTTTGTTTTGCAATGACTAAACCTTGAAACCGTAGGCTATTGTAACTGCCAATCCCAAAAAAAAGCCTGTTTCCTGCCTCTCTTCACAATATATACAAATACAATTAATCATCATGTTTAAGTTGATCACAATAATGCAGTAGCTTAGGGGAATACATTGTCTGCTTACAATCTATTCATCATTTAATAGCTTAATTTATCTTGTGACTATCTTTACAAAATAACACAAACATACACAATCAAATATATTTTTATGCTCTTAAAAATCATTATTATAAGTAAGTATACACCTCATGTTGATTGGCTGATGCATGTCTTCTTACAGTCAATCAAATGACATGTTTGGGCTTGGTCTTTTTATAGGGTGACCAGATGTCCCTATTTACCGGGACAGTCCCAGTTTTGAGTCCTGTGTCCTCTGTCCCAGCAGATTTATCCAAAACCAATGATTTGTCCCAGTTTAATATAATAAATGTCCTAGGTGTCTCTGTTTTTGACCAATTTGATCCCTGCCAATAGTAAAGAGAGGCATAAACTGTAAATTGTTTATTTGAGATACTAGGGTAACCAGATATTCAAAATTCTAAACTGGGACACACCCGGGTTGGGATGGTTGGTATAAATACAATTGTGAAAAGAGCATGTAAGATTGTGCAGACTCATGCTTTATGGTCATTCGCAAACACAGTTTTCTGTATATTGACTAAGCAAATGAAAATGTATGTTCCTCTTTACTGTTGGCAGGGATCAGATTAGTAAAAAAATGTGATAGTCCTGTTTTAATCCTGGTATAGTCTTAGTTTAGTCCTGGTTTAGACCTGGTGTAGATCAAATTGACCAAAAATAGGGCCACCTTGGGCATTTCTTGTATAAAACTGGGACAAATCACTGGTTTTGAATAAATCTGCTGGGACAGGGGACACAGGGCTCAAAATTGAAACTGTCCTGGGTAAATAGAGACGTCTGGTTACCCTGTAAAATATTTTAAAAATCATCTTAAAAACGATTAAAACACAAAGAAAACGTGACTACATTGATTCACACGTTAGTCATGAATGTTCTCTGAATGACACTTCTCCTTAATTACGCACTAGTTTCACAATTTTATTATTACCAACCACCAAGAAACAGGGGATGTCCCAGTTTTTTTAATTTTGAAATTCTCACCCTATATCTTTTTATTCAAATTTCCTAAAGATCACTTTACTTTACTCGAGTTACTGCCATAAAATCTGCTTTCTGCACGCCTAAACTCGTCACATTTAGTCGTTTTTATTAAGCAGAATAGATTTTATTTTAGCAAAGAGAAGAGACAACCTCCTTGGGCTCAAACCTTCATGTAATTGTGAAAAGTCCTCGCCCCTCCCCCACTATCCACATGCTAGCTTCAGCGAGAGAGCGTGGAAAGGAGCCACTCTTTAGGTAAGATCACACTCGAATCGATTAAAAAAACTCTAATCGCCATTATAACGTCACTCATCGATATACTTAATACCTGTGTCTATACTTGCCAGGTGGTTACATTGTCGGAGTAAGCCTGAAAAAAGCGACATTCTTGGCAAAACGACTTGTCTTGACACATACAAGTTGTGTTATCCACTGTATAATGGCAACACCGGTAAATTACCAAATGTCTCCTCTGTGATTCGCGATTAAGTTGTCCAAAAATAGATTCTGCCTTCAGTTAAACAGGTAAGTGGATATAAAGTTGTTTAGCGATGTTAAATATGCAAACTGTGGTTGAACAATAGCTTTATTGGTCATTAATTAAGATAACGTAAAAAAGTAAGTTTGGGGTGTCCTTGGAGACCACGTGACCTGCTGGATGCCTCGTGCACGCGCTTGAGAACGGTCAAACTAAAAGATTCGATTCATTTATTTGTATTTTATTTATTTGTAAGAGATATAAAATAATGTAGAGTGACTTATATGAAATAAAACGATACCCCAATACTCATTAAAAAAATCTTTATGCAGTGTGTCTGTTAAAAAAAATTCATTTGTTTTGCTATTTGTAGGCCTAATCTTTGTCATTATGGTAAAAGTTGATTTTTAACATACTAAAAGTTCTGTTGAGCTATAAGCAATGAACTTTACCTTTAGTTACTGACTTTTTTTGGGAATAAACAACTTTGTGCAATTGGGACATTGGCCAACCAGGTAAAAAGCTGTTGCCTTGTCTTGAGTGTAATTTCTGGTTGTTGTGAGACCACATGCACAAGCCCTGTATTGCCCAATTCATGATAGAGGTGAAACAAAGGATATTTTGTTACTAATCATCAAAATGATCTAACTTGTGTTTTGGCTTCTTCTGTGAGCATGTTGTATGGCTGTTTCGTGCCGTATGCTGTATCTTCCTGACTGTTTGGGAATTAATTCATTATTATTCATTTATTTACTCATTCATTCATTTTTTATTTTTATTTAGTGAGCTTGCATCTCCAAAAACCTGACTTGTATAGCATAAAATCAAAATCGTCATGGGAATGTATGGTTTTAACTGTCTCACTTTAATTATTAAGAGATTATATTTAGTTTTTATTGCACCATGTGAGTGTGAGATGTGTAGTGAATGTGCCTTATTGTCTTCCTGTATATGTGACATGCCAGAAACAGGAAGGATGGCTCTACCAACCTATCTTCCCCAATTATTGAGAATGCCATTCTCGTGGCATTAGTGTAGTATATATTAGTTAAAACAACATTAAAAGTATCTGAAAGTGTGTTGGAACTACCCAATAAACTGCTGGGTCACTGAAGTTGCTTAAATCTAAGCAAGTTTAATTCATGGCACCTTAAAATCTTAAAATGGATTTAATTTAGGGATCATAGGCTTACAACACAATGTGGCATTGTTGTTGTTTTCTTAAGTCTTGTGTACGTGCCATCTTTGACAAACACTTAGCTTTTGTTTGCCATGCAGATCACTTTGTTATTATTAATTACATCATCTGATACCATGTGGCTCTGTTTGTTTTGTTTTCTTTTAGGAGTGTGTGCACATCACATATTACCAACCTGCTGCAGAATGAATCTTTTTTTAAAATCAGAATCACATTTGAGTTTATTAAATTATCAAGTCACTAAGGCTGCAATTATTCAGATAGATACTTGACCAAAATCATGAGGCCCTACTTGAATGTTTGGAATACTAGGCTATATTTATCAATACTTATATTCAGTAACTTTTAATTACCATGTGACCCTGTTGTATTTTTGGGATCTTTAACAGTTCGTTTTTATTTGTAGTCTGTATCACTTTTTTTTTTTTTTTTTTTTGGTTATTAATGACATTATTTGAGACCACGTGACGCTGTTTTTTGGGTGATTGTGTGTCGTGCACGCGCCCCGTCTCCCCCTACCGCCTGTGTGTGCGTGAGCGTGCCTGTGAGCGCGCACGCACGGTCCAACAGCTGCACAGTGAGCAGTCTGCAGAATATGATTCAAACAGTGGCGTTCAGTAGGTGAGCGCTCTTATCCATTGTTATAGAAGAAAGAAGCGACTTACCCGGCTCCCCATGCGGCTTTCTGCACTCACACAACCCAATCGCGCGTACAAAGTTCTATTTTTATTGCTTTTTTACGCGTTTACCCCCCGGAAATTGGGAAGTTGGTAGGTATTGTTACGGGTGAGTTTGGAAGACAACGGCAAAGACGATTTAACAAGTGGAGTTTTGCTAACGTTATGAGCTCACAATGTCAGAGATGCGTAAACTTGACGACTTTAGCGAAACATCGTAACTCCAAAGTGACTATTGAGGTGATTTGATCGTAAAAGTTGGACAATTGAACCGACAGCGCGATGAAATGTTCTGTTTAACTCGCGTTTGGTAATAGCCAACTTACTGGAAGATAATGCATTCCTATCTAGTCATAACAAAAAAAAAAAAAACGGTAGCGTGCGTTTTATTGATTTAACTCCCAAATGATACACTTAAAACTCGCTTGTTCCGCTCATAATACACGTGTAAAATCGTAATAGCGTAGCAGCCAATCGAAAGACAATTAAGCCTCGTTTATTGTGGGATAACTTGAGGGATCTATGCCGTTAATTTGCCCATTGGAAGCTGAAGTGAATAGTTCTTGACGCTAACTTGACGCACGTTTTACGCACGTTTGTCTAACCACACAAAGCAACGTGTTGTGGTCCAAAGAGAAGAGAAATACTTGGGTTTATTTCACAGTGAATAGACCAAGACTACAACAAATTAACGTACTTTTTTATGTGATCAGTTGGATGGCTTTACAATGGCCGTTCACTGTGAAACAACGTGGTTTATTTAAATGATGCAATGTCTACTATTTAAATATACAGTTTGACACAGTAGATTTGCAATTGAAACAAAGAAATCCATAGTATTTTTAGTCAAATAATGTTAAATAGTGTTCAAATCAAAACTAGACCAAGAGTAAAATAGCCCTGACAAAGCCCTGAAAATAGACCTGACACAAGTATGGCTACAGCAGTTAATCACAGTAATCGTTATGGTATTTAGATCATTATAATTATCTATATGTGTGGCTCATACACAAAGATACAACCCAAACGAGTTTTTATAACAAAGACATCAGCATTATTGAATCACAATGTAAAAAAGGAATACACAGGAATAAGTTTATATTTTTGTGCACTTTAAGAGATGAAATGGAATGGCCATGTATAATCTTTTGTGATGGTTGACAGGGTTGTCAGAAGTATAAAAAAAAAAAAAAAAAAGATGCTATAAAATACTAAAAGTAATATTGAAACTAGATACTCGTTTGTGCGAGTATCAGTACTGTAAAAATGTCACTAACAGGAGAAAATGTGGAAAAATTATGTTCTGTTTAAAAAAAAAAAGGAATGTTTTAAAATCTTGTATTATAATCAGTATTGAGTGAATTCCTTTGAATTGAAATCAAAGTTGCGCTTTTTGTATCTTGACAGTAATGATGTGTTTAGTTGCATTTTTCAGTTCAGTATTTGTTGATTACTTGTAGTTTTGTAATGTGGCCAGGTGCCAGTGTAAATTTCTATGCAGTGCATTGCTCAATATTATAGCAAACAGGCAGGTCTTTATCATCACAGTGACTCAGTACCACAGGGGGCAGTGTGTTAAATGCAAAAACATGCATTTCCTGTTTTTGACTTTTCCTCTTTCTGTCTTTTTAATTGTGGAATTGTGTCTTTCAGTTATTGAGGCTTATTTTATATTTTTGAACCAAATCTGTAATTCACTTTTTATTCATATTGTCTTATATGGTATAAGACTTATAGTGTGTGGACAGCTTTATTATATGAAACATAACTCTCTAACTTTGTTTTCTTCAGCTGATGATGTGAAGATTAAAAGAAACAAGAAATCTTTTATTTAATTTTGCTTGTAAAATGCCAGTTATACGTTTTTAAAGGTTGAACTAAATGCAACATTTCTGGTGTAGGGTTTGGTACCTCCTTGTATCGATAAGTTATTGCTCTGCCTGGAATGATCCACTGTATGACATTAAACACTTGTATGTTACATTTATTCAATCACATGTGTTTTATTGCTCAAACGTACTTTGGTTTTTGGCTTAATGCCATGCTGTGGAACAGTTCAAGCATAGCAATAACATCTTCATTTAGACATGCAGGTGCCTCACCCGCTTACAGAGAACGTTATATAGTATATATTTATTTTGGCATCTAAGGTTCTTGCACTTTCTTTAGTTTGTCCTTATGATGATATTATGACCTGTAGGACTGTAGTCGTTTAGCCAGTTGGTCGATGGTGTCTTAGTTGACTAAAATTTGTATTCATTGTTTTATTTAGATTATAAGGATTTGGGACAACAGCAGAAATCAGTAGTTAATGAGTGAGTCTTTATATAAAAATGTTGTTTCCTAATTGTTTTTTTTTTCAGCATAAATGGTTGTTTTTGCATGAACTTCCCCTGCAGGTGTCATCTTGTGAACGCTGTTTGGGTCAGTTTTGAGACTTTTTGTCACGGCCCTTTTTAGTCAGCAGGACATGTTTTTAGCTGAAGAATTTCTTTATTGGATCACTGCTCTAATGACTTGAATAATCATGATTTATCTATTATCCAACTATACTTAACTTTCCTAAACATGCTGTCCCAGATCTAACATTTTATTTCCCTCTTTTTATTCCAGGTGTCCTCACTGACCCTGTGCGATGCCGACTCAGTCCTTACTCTCGGTTGTGGAGAGCCCAGACGGCCTCACGCAGGACATTCTGATTAGCAACAGCGCCAACACCCCCGGCTCTAGCATGACGCCGCACAGCTCCTGCTTAGAGAAGTCTATGCTGACGACGGTCAACCAGCTAATCTCCTGCATGTTCTGTGAACAAACCTTCACCCATCAAGACGAGCTAGGCCCTCACGTTTTAGCGCAACACCCAACTACTTTTCCTGAACCAACTGTGCTCAGAGTGGAAGCCGAATTTCGCATTCCCGGTGAAAGGAATCGACCCAAACCAATCCTACCTGTTGTTGAAAAAGATGTTTACAGTTGTATCGTTTGTGGTCTGGTATCCCAAGATGCACTGGAGCTAGAAAACCATATGCGAAAGCACAAAGACTATTTCTACTACTGCTGTAACATTTGCGGACGCCGCTTCAGAGAGCCGTGGTTTTTGAAAACACACATGAAAATGCACACGAAATCTGGCAGCAAAACTAAAGCCTTACAAGAACTACAAGACACTCCTGTGACTGTCAACGGGGTCGTGCAAGATGTCTCTGAACCGGTAGCTACTGTTTACAAAATGTGTATGGTCTGCGGGTTTTTCTTCCCTGATCACGACAGCTTGGCCGAGCACAGCAAAGTTCACAATCGCGAAGTGGAATTGCATGACAAAAATGCAGAAAAATGGACAAAAGAAGAGGAGATCCAGAAGGAGACATTTTTCCACAGTTTAAAGCTACAGCCTTCTCGAGAAAACACTACACTGCAACCGGTCAGAACCTCAAAATGGATCGCCCAGTTGGATCCTTTCAGTACTTACCAAGCCTGGCAACTAGCGACCAAAGGAAAGATAGCAGTCGGGCCGAATAACGCTAAAGATATCGGACAGGAAGCGAGCACAGATAATGAAGAATGCACGTCAGATAAGGAGGAGCTGAATCATATTCTGGGAGAAGGACACACGGGGGACAAGGCCAGCAAAGATGGCCGCCCCCCTCCACCTGTGATTATAGCTCCACAGCCTCAGCGGAGGTCACTCATTCAAAAGGACAAGAGCAAAGAGAGGCCCACCACATGTGAAGAATGCCACAAAACATTCAGGTGAGATCATGTTGAACTGAATAATAGTACTACTCGTGTTGTCAAAAGGATCAAAAATCTAATAGTAATTGATACTAAAACTAGTATCGCAACTAGATACTAGAAAAAGATACAAAAAGATGCTTAAAATTGTCATTGGGGTATCAAAATCTGTATAGAAATTTTAGTATGACAACACTGTAGATCTACATCGCAATACTTTAGTTAAATGACTTGAAATCACAATATTATTTTTATTTTGATTTGAGTGGTTTTGACTAGTTTAGGTTGACTTAGTAGGTCTAAATTTTTTTTGCAGTTAATCTTACTTCCAAGTACTAGCCTCAGACTGGATAGCCCCTGAAATAAGAACTTTTGGTGAACTCAAGATGTTGTCTCATGTTGCTATCGTATAATATGTAGTGAATATATAATGTAGAGTGAATCATACATTCACGTGAGAGCTCTCTAGTGTGTGACCAACTTATTCATGCTGACTGCCTTTTTTTAGAGTGCCAACCTCACAGTTCTGTTCAGTTTGATTCCCAGAAAAGGTGGAGCTTTCTGTGTGGTTTTCTGGATCTGTCTATGTATGCATAAAAAAAAAAACAGTGATCATACAGAAAGTATATTTCAAATCTCAGACTATTTTGATTAAATAAAGTGTAATAAGTATGCCTACATGAAAACTACGCAATAATTCTTCACAAATCATTCATGTATATTGCATCATATATATATATATATAACAATGACTGATTTCCTCATGCTTTCCTTACCCTGCAGGACGTACCACCAGCTGGTGCTCCACTCCCGGATCCACAAACGAGAGCGTCCCGGAGAGGAGAGCCCCACAGCGGGTCTGGAGGGGAGACTGCACCGGCCTGGAGCTCTGGACCATGACGAAGAAGAGGGGCAGGACGAGGCGCCGCTCACAGAGATACTGGGATCAGGTGAGTCCATACTGTCTCTGTCTTGGGGCAAGACACTTCACCCACCTTGCCTGTCTGTGAGTGGGTGCGTGAGTGATTGATAGTGGTTGGAGGGGCTGATGGTGCTGATTGGCAGCCTTGCTTCTGTTACTCTACCCCAAGGCGCTGTACATACAAGTATCTTATATAAGCACCAGGTGAGGAGTGACTGAGTAATGTACTTTAAAGACATAATACATCATGAAACACAACTCAGACTTAAAATAGGACAGCTTAACTTCACTGTAAACACTGTGATACTTGAATCAGATGACCATGTTTATCTGTTTTGTTGTGCATAGTAATCAGTCAATACACATCCTCACACATACTCAATACATGAGTTTCTTTGTTTTCTCATCTTCACTTCCATATTCATATTTTAAAATATTCTTGAATCATTTTGTGGCTTCACTCTGTAGTTGCTGAATCTTTTAATGGGGGCTCCCAACGTCTCCCTCTGCTGGTGGACACATAAATCACTCTTTATGTGTTTTTAGGTGAAGATGGTTTTGACAGAGTTAAAGGCCGATCGAAGGAGTGCAGTTACTGTGGGAAAACCTTCAGATCCAGCTACTACCTCACTGTTCACCTCAGGACTCACACAGGTACAGGGCTTTGGGCATTTGTCACTGTCGTTTTTGAGGCAAACTCTGCAATTCTTTTGTCACAGCAACATTCTTAACCATGTATGTTTTTTTAACAGAATAGAATAGAAAGCCTTTATTGTCATTATACAGTATAAATAAATTCAGAGCTGCTCCATCAAAGGGCAAGAATTAAATGAAATAAATAAAACAAATTTAATGCATAACTCAAGGTTATTCACAATTCTTTTCAGTGCATGGCCTTACATTACGTCAATAGTTATACTCACACATTTTAGAAAGATAATTGCAGAAAATAAATGCATGTATTAATCTTTTTTCCTTCTCGTGTGTTTCGTATGTGTTTTTTTTGTATTTTTTTTTTTTTGAGAAGCAAATACAAAGTTGTACGTAGACACAGGTTTACTGTGAACGAAACATGATGCACAAAACAAAACAATGCAAATATCCTGCGACTTATGTGATCTATTAATCAGTTCATATTATCCAGATAAACCAGAATTAATTGTGTCTTTTAAAGTGAAATAAAAAAACTCAACTAAAAACTAAAAACGTAAAACTAATAAGGAGCAGGCTCAAAACGGATTTCAATACCAAAACAATCTGCTCTTTCTGACTGTCCTTTTCAACACTAAATAATAGTAAACCATGTGGTCTTAGATCATTAAATCATTCCAAAACTGTTCAAATAAGGACAAATTTAACCCTGTGTGTGATGGTGATTTTAATTTAGTTTTAAAAAATTTTAGTATTGATACTTTCTCAAATGAATATCGAATAGAGATGTAACAATCTCACGGTACGATATTCTCACAATATACATCCCACAGTACGGTATTTATTGCGATATATAACAAAATTGTGAATATGCAACTTTTTCCTTTTAAAATGCCTTGATAAGACTTAATTTAAAGAACTAAGATTTAAAAGTGCATAGAGCTACTATTTCATGTCGTTTGCACTAAAATGGAGCAAAGGATCATGGTCGATGTAGTTCCCTCTGTTTTTTTTTTTTTAGCTATTGCTGCACCATAACAATAAATTTAAGCAAAGGAACTTGTGATTCAATATATTGTGATGGTCCACGATGTTATTGTGAGACTTTTGATGATACGATATCACGATATTTTGGTTATTGTTACATCCCTAGTATCTAGATTTGATACTGCTTTTAGTATTGATTTAGATGTTTATAAGATGTTTTTTAAATGCTTTTGTCAACCTTCCTCTGCTAATCTCAACATTTGATCTATCTCCAGGTGAAAAGCCATTTAAATGTGCTTACTGTGACTACGCTGCTGCTCAGAAGACTTCACTCAAATACCACCTGGACAGAAGGCATAAAGACAAACCCTATATCGAAGTCCCCATTCGCCCAGCGTCTGCCTCCTCCTCCTCTCTGCCCTCCCCCTCCGACCTCAAACTGGAGCCGGACAGCGAAAACTCCTCCTCCCCTACCAAACTATGGATACACGACTCCAAAATTTACCAAAACGAGGCGAAATTTGACCCCGGTTTGTTAGTCAATTCCAAGCTTAACAAACCGCTCATTCACAGCGATGGCGAGTTTTCCAAATTGATGACCAAATGCGCCGATGACCTCCCGATACCTGTGAATCTGAAGATAGAAAAACGTGAAATAAAAGATGAAAATTATGACGATACGCCGCTGAATCTGTCTTTAAAGGTTTCACTGTCGATTTCAGCCGAGCCTAGAAAAGCGTCAATTCCAAGTGCATGTTCACAGTGTGCATTTAAAACAATTTACCCAGAGGTGCTGATTATTCACAACAATCTGGCGCACAAAGATAAGACGGATAACACGAGAAGGCCAGTGATTTCCAGGCTGAAAAGGCATACTGGTTGCCCGCCAGCGTTGGATGGGAAAGACGTCGCCCCGTTGCCGATGATTTCCCTAAGTCATCCGAGAAGAACCAAATCGCCGACGCCTTTGCCTTCAAAACCGCAAGAAAAAACGGCCGCGAACAAGACCATGTCGGCGCCTAAACAGTCTCCAATGCGAGAAAGTGAAAGCCAGAAATTCAGGCAAAATTTTGAGCAACAAACGAACAACCAAGAAAGTAGGTTTACAGAGGTGATGAGAAAAGGTACAGGTGCGGCAAAGTATGTACTAGAGATGCAGACGCCACCGCCAGATAGAATAGGGATAGGCGACAGGAGTTACCCAGTGAGAAATGGCATAGTCTGGCCTACCGAATCGTCACGGATGTGTCTCTCAAGTCGGTTCGGTAACCTACCTCACATGGATTTAGGCGAACCGTCCAACAAAAGGTTAAAATTCAACACCATGAGTCAAAGTAGGGAAGTAGATGTGAGTGGAGAGAAGGGGAGTTTCAGGAATATGTCTTCGGAAATGTCTAATCGGTCACTCGTAGCAGGGAGGGGGAGTCTACCCAGTGTGCCCTCTTCTGGCCAGGACGCGCTGGGGGCGGTGAAGAGCTCCTCCGTGGCACTAGGGGGCGCTCTGGACTCGGAGTGGGGCACGATGAACCTGCTGCGCTCCTGTACGCTCAATGATCTGGCTTCACTGTATCACACCTCACCCGGCAACCCTCCCAGACCAGGTGAGCAGGTCTAGACGTTTAAAACACGTTTTCAAACTTGTTCATTATACTTTGTGTTCTTTGACAAACTCTAATGATCCGCAAGAGAAATAACTTGGACAAAGGACAAATGCTGTACAAATGTCACATTTTCATATGGCTCAGTCAATTATGGACATTTTTATTGCTTAAAAAATATACTTATGCTTTTAAAGGAAACATGACTGTTTTGAGCTTTTAACCATGGCCTGATTTAAAGTGCTTCCAAACATGGGGATTATTTTTTCTAGAACAGGGGCCAAATACGGCCATCAGACTCATTTTTCTTGGCCCTCAGGCTGCTGCTGAATTAGCCTTAATGACCAAAAGTAGTGCTTTTTACTGTAGCGTTTTCTATTTGTTATGATGGCAGAGCTTTTCCATTTTTCAGACCTAACATTAATGTTCCAAGCCAAACTTATATCAAATACAACATTTTGAATGATTCACTTAATAGAGTCTGCGGCTCTTGGCTCCATATAAGTTTCAGTATACATTCCCCAGTGAAAAAAAGATTGAACTTTTCTGTTATGAAACATGAGATACAAATGTTGTTGAGATGAAAAGCATGTTTAGGAGCCATAGGCCAAAATAAAGCATGATGACATGTCCTTACAGGGTCTCTTAGAATTGTTTGGTTATTAATTCTATCTTATTGGTTAATCCTGACATGTCTTTTCTTCCCCACAGGGGGCAGGACTGTGCTGTACCAACACTTGCCCACGTTGCCAAGCCTCCCACGGAGAGAATCCACCGGACCATTCCCAAACCAGCGCTATGGCAACATGGACAAAAGTGCCTAAATATGACTTTCAAATGTTTAAAAAGGTAAAACTTGAATATAACGCTTAAAGGACACTGGAGTTTACAACCATCTGCCTAAAAAAACAAAAACTTTTCCTTCAAACTTTCAAATATGAGTCAAGTTTGACAGATACAAAGCTTTAGTTCACTTTTCAATGAGCTGCTATCTTCTTTTGTTAATGGAGACTTGGTTTAAATGTGTTGTAGAAATAGCAGTGTTTTGTTTTGTCAGTGGGTCACTGAGTTTTCATTTGGTTGCATTTATCTGGACTAAAAATCCTCTTTAGAAATGTGACTTGTATATTTGTGCACTAAAATCCCATGCATTCATTTGTATCTGGGCCAAAGTATTGTCAGAGTATTGTGACAGTTTGGGCAGTGTCCAGGTTTGACGTGTTCATATTAAAGGTCAATGATAGAAAATATTAAAACTTCGTATAAATTTTCTGTGTAACAAAATTCAGATATTCGCGGTAAAATTACTTGAGTACAAAATATATCCAAATTTGGGTAGTGTTAACTTAATTTATTGAGTTACTGGACCTTATTTGCTATTTGGTATTTTTTTTGATAGTTTCAATATACTTTTTCCTTATTTCAGCAAACTCTTTGAATTTAGTTTTGGGCTGTTTTGACATCAAATTGACCTGAAGTGTAGGGATGCACCAATCCAGCCATTTCACTTTTGATACCGATTCTCTACCGATACTGTAGCTTTGAGTATTTGCCGATCAACTGATACAGGTCAGAGACTGAAAACAGCATTATTTTCTTCAAAAAATAAGACAAAACTGATCCAGATGTGTTCTGTAGGCATTATTCATCCCTCAAGTAAGTGCAGGACAGCTTTGTGTGAATACAAATTTAAACATATGAGACTTTCTGGGCTATGACCAATAAATGACTTGACATACATATATTTATATGTCCAAACTGGATTTTATATTGTCTTTCAAATGTCATTTCAGTCAATAGTGTTGGTATCGATATCCAATACCAGTATCGGATCAGTGCATCCCTACTAAAGTATATTTTGACTAATATAAAATGTACTTGAAATGAGTGCAAAAAACACTACTGATTAAAAAAAAATGTCATTCAAATTATAGTCCAGATGTGTTAAGATTTCATTTTTCTTATTATTTCAAAAATTTCTTCCATTTGCATCATTTTTGTTTTTAATTTTAATTTTTTTTTTTTTACATTAAAGGTGCACTGCGTAACTTTTCTGGTGAGCGGTGTGCCAACTGCTTGAGTTCACGGAGATGTCCCTCAGTACGGCATTAAACTTGTCAACATATATTCAATTACAGATGATACTGCTCAAAAATATTGGTCAAAAATACCGTAATAATAAACATTTGTTCTTACTTTGAGCTGGCTCGCCTCTCCGCAGATCTGACTTGGCATTGTGCTAACTGCTTGGACCGTGGAGATAAATGAGTTTAATGCCATATTGTGGAACATTTCATGGAGATCAGCAGGTGACGAACTTTCCACCTGTAAAGTTTCATAGTGAAGTGTATTTTTTTACGCGAAACAAAAGGAAAATTAAACCTACAACAAATATTCAAACTAATCTACTACTCAAATTCTCAAATATTCTACATTCAAGTAATTTTAACCCTAAATTTATAATAACTGAATGCAGAAAGTAGTACAATGTATATGTATATTGATTTCCATAGCACTAAGGGGCAGGGATTCCAATATTCTCTAAAAGCACATGATGTAAAATGATTTGTGTTTTCTTTGGTCTACCTCATACTGGTGCTCGAGACACTGACTCGTGGTATTCGCTGAGATATTTGTCAGTTTTTTGGTGCGCGCTTGGCTTATTTCCAAACGCATAACCAGGGTTGAGAATCGAAAGGGTTTTAGTGAAATTACAAAAGCCAAAAGTAAATAACAATTTGATTTACTATGTCCTGATCGCTTAACATCTTTCCAGACTCAGTTATTCTAAAAATTCTTAAAAATGAAAGTTCAAATTGTTGCAAAAATTTAAGGTGTAACTTTTTATTTGTGTCTATGATTATGTCATTGCTCTGCCTGGAATGTTGCACAGTGTGACATTTAACAGCTCTACCTTAAATTTATTCAATTACATGTGGTTTTAGAAGGTATTAATGCCATATTGTGAAACATTCCAGACAAAGCAATAACATTTTCATGAAGAAAAGCATGACCAGAAAAGTTACACAACGCACATTTAAAGTTAAAACTGTTGCTTCGATTCACCTTTTTCTTTCCTAATTTTCCAAAGTCCTGTTCCGAAATCATTTTTTTGGATCGATTTATCAATTCCTAAATGCAATATGTGAGTTGTATCCCAATTTTCTGACATTGGGACATTGAAATTTGCTCAACAAGATTTCATTTTATAGATTTCCACGTTTACCCTTTCGATTCACAACCTTTTAGTCTCAAATCTACGTGGTTGTTTCATATGTGGCCACTAGAGGGCTTTTGTATTACTTTTCAAGGCTGTATTTGCTTTTACGCTCAGGGTAATTGGACGTCGACAGTAGCAGCAGACGTGGACTTTCAACTGTGTCTGAAATGCAAGAGATGTTCCAAATGAAATGTGTAAAAACAGAATTTGAGCGACAGTCTTAGTTGGAAATTGTCTATAATAGAGCTGCACAATTTTGGGGGAAAAAAATCTGAATTTTCTGACAAATATTGCGAATTAAATAGTAGATTCTGATACCTAAAATATAATTGCAGTTTTTTATGTTTGGACAATTTTGCCTCGACTCAAATTGTAATTTCGATTTTCGATATTTTGTGCAACTTTAAACTTCTATGCAGCGTCTGGTTTTCGAGACTTTTGTATGTTTCTCTGTGTACAAGGACGGAAGCAGCTATTTGAGTTAAAGATGCACTGCGGAACTTTTCTCGTCTGTGGTCTTCTTTTGAGATGTTATTATAGCTTTGTCTGGAATGTTCCACGGTAAGGCATTAAACTGAACTGCACAGCTTGTGTTTATTGAATTACAGGTGTTTTTATAGCTCAAAAATACCTCGAAAAACATGTATTCTTACTGTGATTGAGCTCGCCTCTCCGCAGATCTAAGTTGTAATTTAACCTTTCGGTGGCGTGTGCTTGTATTTATGGATTTAGAAGTTTAATGCCATCGTGAGTGAGCTGCTTCTTCACAGATCTGACCCGTAACTTGGCCTTGGCGGATGCAGAGGTACACCACCCAACATTTAACGTCTCCACGGACACGAGCGGGCCCCGAAATGTCCCGCAGTGCGTCTTTAACGGCTGGTTTAACACTGTGAACTAAACCTCAGTTCTCCTCAGGTTTCCACGACGAGCTCTTTAAAAGCCTGATGATAAAATATTTTTGCCACGTGGTTTGGCTCTGGTTAAGTTATTAATTTTCTTTTCTGTGATACTCTGTTACGTGTACATCTGTAAACACGATGATATTGTTTAAGATTTGTATTTCACATTTCAATAATAAAATATGAGTATGATATTAACTTGACTTTTGTGTTGTTGTTTTTTTATATATATAAACATGCAAGATTTGGTTCATGTATTTTTCATGTTTAGTAGATGAGGAAAAATGTCAGTCTTTTTGTTCCAGGAGTTTTAGAAAAGGTGAAATTCTAAATCTGCTTCACTGTATTTTTATTCTTAATGTAAGTTCTTAATATGAAAAACTAAAAGTGAATTCATTCATCTAGTAATCAGGTTTGAACTCCTATTCCTCATTTAACCTGAAACTGTGTGAACCTGTGCTATGTTTTTTTTAAAGGGAACAAATATAATATATAGTACATATAGTAAAGGATATTACTGAAATAATTTGGATTGTTCTAAATCGGGGAGTCCAACCTGTAGCTCAGGAGGAGTAGCTCACCAAGGAAATACTGAATTATACATACTGCGCTGAATAACTCAGATTTGATTGATTAAATGCCTATTTCCTTTCTAAATGTATAATTCTGATGCCTAATTTTGTGCACTGATATAACTGGGTGATAGGTTATGTTTTATAGACATCCACTGTTGGGAAGGTGACTTTTAAAATGTAATCCCCTACAGATTACAGATTACAGATTACATACCCCAAAATGTAGTTTGTAACATAATCCATTAAATTAGTTAAAGTGAGTAATGTAATCTGAATACTTTGGATTACTTGATATTGTCATGCTTTTTAAAACTACATCAATGTACCAATCACATCCTGCAATATTCTTGTTGTCAAATTGTCTGTTGAGCCCAAGTCGCCATGAACAGGTATTTGTTTACTGTAGAGTAACTAAGATATGTTATCATAAGATGTTTTGTCTCCTAAAAGAAAATAAAAAGCCCAGACTTTCCTTAAGCATATTAAAAATATTATTGATAGAGAAATTATTATTTTTTTATATGAGATCACTGCTGCTTTATGTCCACCCTATTAGGTGTCATATTGTTTAGTCCTGGTTTTAGTCCTGGTTTAGTCCTGGTTTAGTTCTGGTTTAATCCTGGTTTAGTCCTAGTGTTAGTTCTGGTTTTGAGGTGCACAGGAGGAAGCATGGTGCCTCTCTTCTTTAAATACAAAGTGATGTCTGAATTTCCAAGACACAAATGTGGTTTTATCTGTGCACTTCTGCCTCTGTTCTACTGGCTCCTCGACCTCGTCCACAGTGTGACTGACTCAGCCAACGTTAACATGACATCTACAGAGCTCTTATTGTGCACGTTTTGTTTGGGTTTCCGGCAAAGAGTGGAATTACCAAAATAATAATTTAAAAAATGTGAAAACAGGACAATACCGCCGTGTAATCCATTTATTTTAGCAACGTAACTATAATCCAATTACCACTCACTGAAACAGTAATTGTAACCGAATACAGATACATAATTTGTATTCTGATTATGTAACCCTGGTACATGTAATCTGTTACTCCCCAACACTGTAGACATCAAACTGTACCTCATTTTCGGCTCACCATGGCTCTTATATTTACAGATTTTCTGGTGACAGCTAAAATTCGTAGCTCTCTGGCATTTTCATTTTACAAAAGTAGCTCACAGGATGAAAAAGGTTGGAGACCCCTGTTCTAAATCTGTTTTTATAAAAATCTCTTGAGCTTTTTAAGGCCGCTGTGTCCTTAGTTCACTCCCTGCATTTACTCAGTGTGGCCGCTAGATGGCAGTGTTGGCAAACGATTGGAGCGTGATCACGTTCACTTTGGCCTACAGCGTAATAACACTGGGCCTACGTGTTTCTGCTTTGCTTTAAAAATATCTTTTGCGCATATATTCAATTACACATTTTTTTTTTTCCTTTTTTTTTTTCAGTTACACGTGTTTTTATACGTGAAAACACCTTGAAAAACACTCATTCTCATTATGAGCATTTTGGAAAACCAACCTCCTGGATTCACCTGCTTCTTTCTGTTTACATACTTGAGGTGAATGCCATACTGCGGAACATTCAAAGTAATAACAACCCTCCACAGGAAAAGTTACACAGTGTAGCTTTAAACAGTCTTATAGTGTGACACCTCTGAATTGTATCACCGACTCTTCACTGGCAAAAATTATAATTCAAATAAAAGATTCAATCCCATTACATTAACTCACTCATTGTCATTTCTCCGTGAGTCTCATTGTGTGTGTGTATGTGGTGTGTGCGCATGTAAGTGTGTGTGTGTGTGTGTGTTGATTCAGAACAACTCGAGTTCACTTCAGATGATTGTTGTGTTGTTGGAAAACACTCGTTGCCTAAATCCAGGTCTCTCTGTGTGTGTGCTGCAGCTTTCCTCTTTATTTTCTTCATACTTTCTAAAAAATAAAGCCTTTAAATATTTGAACTGATAATATTTAAATAATTTGAATTTAAAAAGACAATACACAGCAGTTTAATTTCACAGTTTTTTTGTTTAGTTTTGTTTTTCAAGTTTATTTATTTTGTATTTTTTCTACATTTCTTGCTTGCTGCGTTGTTGTTCTTTGTGTTTGTGTCTTGACCTTTGCAGAAGAGAGCTTTGTGTGCCTCAATGCTTTGCCTGATAATAATAATAATACATATTTTCTATGATTAAAATGAATATTCTTTTCGTCTTGATGTGTCCACACGTCCTGAGCATCGTCCACTTCCGCAGCTGCTCGCAAAACGTCCTTCCTTTTCTGTCGTGTATTTATTTTGGACATTTTGAGGACTTCAGATTTCAAGTGTCCCAAAAAATCACGACGACAAAAGACAGATTAGAATATTGCAGACACCAGATGACAGAACTTTTGATCATGTGAGAACAAGAGAGTGTTTAGTTCATCTGATTTTAATATCTGCAGAAACTCAAATGTGTGAATGACGTGAACAATTCCATCGGTCAGTGGGTTTGAAGATTCCCCTGGGTCATTCTCTTCTTTTAAAGGAGAGTCTGTAAATATGAAAACTCTTCAAATACACAAATATACTGACGACTAATGCTGTGAGTCATGTGTCCACTTCTGCAGCCCAACGAAAAACGAGAGAACGAGGGAGGGAGAGAGGGAAAGAGAAAGACACAGACAGGGGAAGAAGGAGAGAGGTGAAAAAGAGGGGAAAGAGGAGAGGGAGGGATGGGAGAGAGCAGGAGAGGAGAGAGAAGGAGAGGGAGAGAGAGAAAGAGAGAAGAGGAGGGGGCTGAGAGAGGGGGGCAAGAGATAGAGATGAAAAAGGGGTGTGAGAGAGAGAGAGATACAGGGGAGAGTGATGAGAGGGGGAGGAGAAAAGGGGGGAAGAGAGGAGGAGACAGAGAGAGAGAAGGAGAGAGGTTGAGGGAGAGGGAGAGGAGAGAGGAAGAGAAGAGAGAGAAAGAGAGAGGAGGAGAGAGAGTGAAAGAAAAAGAGACGAAGAGAGGGAAAGAAAGAGAGAGGAGGAGAGAGAGAGAAAGAAAGAGAGAGGAGGAGAGGGACAGAGAGAAAGAGAAGGAGAGATGAAAAAGGGGTATGAGAGAAGGATAAGGGAGAGCAGTGACAGAAGGGGAAGAGAAGAAAAAGGGGAAGGAGAAGAGAGAGAGAAGGAGATAGGATTGAGAGAGAGGGAAAAGAGAGAGGAGGAGAGGCAGAGAGGAGAGAGAAGAGAGAGAGGAGAGGAGAGAGGAGAGAGAGGAGGAGAGAGAGAGAGAGAGAGAGGAGAGAGAGGAGAGAGAGAGAGAGAGGGAGAGGAGAGAGGAGGAGAGGGACAGAGAGAGAAGGAAAGAGGGTTGCGAGAAAGACAGGAGGAGAGAGAGAGAAAGAAAGAGAGGAGGAGAGGGACAGAGAGAAGGAGAGAGATGAAAAAGGGGTATGAGAGAAGGATAATCAAGAGCAGTGAGAGAAGAAAAGGGGAAGGGAGAGAGAGAGAGAGAGAAGGAGATAGGATTGAGAGAGAGGGAAAAGAGAGAGGAGGAGAGGAACAGAGAGAAAGTGAGGGTGAGAGGAGGAGAGGGGAGAGAGAGAGGGGAGAGAGGGAGAGAAGGATAGAAATGAAAAAAGGGTGAGAGAGGGAGAGAGAGAGGTATAGGAGAAGAGAAAAAAGGAGGATATGGAGAGTGAGAAGGAGAGAGGGAGGAGGAGGACAGAGAGAAAGAGAAAGAGAGGAGAGGGACATAGAGAAGTAGAGAGGGTTGAGAGAGCGGGAGAGGAGGAGGACAGAGAGAAAGAGAGGATGAGGAGAGAGAAGCAGAGATCAGGACAGAGATTAAAAAAGGGGGTGTGAGAGAGAGGAGTTAGGAGAGAGTGCCGAGAGAGGGGGAAGAGAAGAGAAGAGAGAGTGTGAGAGGGTGAGGAGAGAGGGAAAGAGGGGTGAGGACGGGGTGACGGGGGAGAGGGAGGATGACGCTAAGTGAAAGTCTCATTTTGCGCGGGTGATTACAGAGGCCCATGGGCGATATCCACTAATGTGAGCTAATGCAATAGATTACACTGAACACAGACCCAGGGGAACGACGCCAACAGATGTGCTCGACTCCAAAAAACACACACCACCACCACCACGAAAGAGGAGGAGAGAGGAGGAGGAGAAAGAGGGAGGCTGAAGATAGAGAAGGAGGGAAAGAGCAGGATGAGGCAGGGAGACAGAATCAGCAAAGAGAGAAAAAAATGGAACAATGGATGAGAGAAAAAGGGAATAAAGAGACACAGAAAGGAAGAGGGACGGGGTAAGGAGGCAGAAGGAGTGCAGAGAGCAAAATAGAAAAGGAAAGAGAGAGAAAAACACAAGAGAGAAAGAAGAAAGTTTGAAAGTTGTTTTGCAGTGGCCGGGCCAAAACTCTGGAACTCTCTGGTCCATTCATGATCTGTCTCTGTTCAAAACCAATCTTAAAACGTACTTATTAAGAATGGCTTTTAACACTTAGTGGCCCTGTGACATTTTCTATATTTTAATGGTGTAATGTGTAATTTGTTGCGTGGTTGTATGATGTTTATTGTTTTTATTCTGTTTTAATGTTGTACAGCACTTTGGTCGGCTTCGGTCGCTGGAAGGTGCTATAGAAATAAAGTTTGATTGATTGAT